ACATATATATATATATATATATATATATTCTTCTTTGTGTTAATCTTTATTATTAATATTTATTATTTATTTAGATAAAAAATGTTATTTTTATAAATTGTGGGGGTACATTAGACTTAGTGGAATTGCTACAACCTGTAGAATCTGTGATATTTTATATTCTTGATAGCCATAGGCCCTATGATTTATGTAATGTGTATTCAGAAGATCAAGTACGTATACTTGGTAAAGTTGATGAAGATGATGAAATTCCGGAGTATAATGATGTCTTCAGAGATGATTCAGTAAGTGATTTGTTTCAATATTTTATAACTCTTTATTCTAATAATAAAAAAAAACGAAGAAATTATACCTTATAATTTTTAGTCAGATGAAGATGAAACAGAAGATGAATTAGAAAATGATCAATCTCAAAGAAAAAGGCGAAGATTAAACGAAGAAGATGTTATTAAACGGGCTGGACGAAGAGAATGGTCTGAAAAAAGGGCAACTGTTATGTTCAATTATACACAGTACAGTTACTATGGCAAATCAGTAGGGATTATTAAAATACATGAGTAGTAAGTTATAATGTAGAATATAAAAATTCAAATATATTTTATATTTTTATAGAGTGCAATGCTTATTTTTGAAATGGCTTGGCATATGTCAAAAGATAATTTAGATATGGTTTGGTGGGCTATAGTTGGTTCTACAGAACAAGCTATTCTTGGAAAAGTAGAATCAAGATTAAGTATTTTTGAAGAAGGTTCTCTTCAAGCCCATGTATCTAGATTAACTCATAAACAAGGAGTTGAAGTTGATAAGCATCAACAACAGCAACAAAGTACTGTTAAAATTACTTATGACAAAGAGTATCCTTTAGAAATTAGATATGATAATAAAATATCATAAGGTATAAATTCTATATCCTTACATATAAATTTAGTCTCTTACTTGTATTATATCGGCATTGGACTGTTGAAGCTAGTTTAAGACATTCAGTGCCAACTGCAGTATCATTACGACTTTGGTCTATCAGGGGAGAGCAACGATTAAAGGAATTGTTAGCAGAAATGGGTTTACCTTTAGCACAATCGAAGCAACGATTTTCTGCAATGGATCTTGCACTTAGACAAGAATTTAGACAAATGTTTGAAAAATTAGCTGGAAAATATAAACTCGACACTGTTATTGGAACAAGTTTTACCCTTCAGTATGGTTACAGATTTAAATATTGTGCATCAGATATAGTTTATGCTATGCTTGCTTTAATGGAATCTTCTGTAAGTTTCTAGTATTAACATGTTTCTGTATGTTTAAATTTGTAAATGTTTTAGTACATCATTTTTTTTAACATTCCAGTCAAAGGAAAAGTTGCCCCAACGTTGTTTTTTAGACGTATTAGACTGTTTGTCTCGCACAAAAAAAGATATTTTAGAAAACGGTATAGAGAAAGCAAAATGTATGCTTAATAGTATTTTTAAAACTGCACAGAGTATTTTACAAATGAAACAAATTAGAAGCGCTGGTTCGTTTCTTTATATAATTATTCCAGAGGGAAACGCTGACAGTCTCGTATTCACGCATCCACATCCGTTAATGATGTTAGCTCAGTTTACTCTAAAGGCTTACGTAGACTCTTCAAAAAACAGACGGGCACCGGAATGGCCACTTGTAGCTTCTTCAGTATACAATGCAGAAGAGGGTATGTGTCTCATACTCGGTATACCACCGGTGTGTGAAGATCAACCAAAAAGGTAATTATAGTTAATTAATGTAAATCTATTGTGAAAACATTTTTAGTAAATTTAGCACTATTTTATGATAATATTTATTGTAGTTTATTCGGAAAAGCTTTTGAACAAGCAGCTAAAAATACAAATTCTTACATAGAAGCAGATTATTTTGATACCACAAGTAAGAATTATTTATAATGCTTTTAGTACTGTACTTTTAAAATATTTGTTTCTTAAATATTGATGTTCTATATTTCAGTAATAAGACTGAAAACTGAAGAGAGACCAAAATTTTTGGATGCTCTGGCAGCTCTCCTAGCTTAAAATTTTTATGATTTATTTGACGTATGAAAATAAGAATTTTTTCTCAATATTTATTTTTTAGAAAAATAGTACAAAATAAGGACAACGATATCTTTTTAAAAACACGACGGTAGGATCAATCACGCATGCTTTATATTTTTTGACTTATTGTAATTGACGAATATATGTTAGTAATATTTGTTTTATAATTAATGGTAGATGTAACTTTAATTATATTGTAGATATATGTACAAAGTAAAATGAACGCGATGTATAGTATAAAATTTTCATTTATGTACGAAATAATTGATCAAAATTCGTTTAATGAGCTAAATAAGAAATAAGTAATAATTGTAACTGTATCCAGAGTGAAATTTAATATAAGGAGTAAAGTAATAATACATAAATGTGTAATGTAAATGATAATAGGTATAAATTTTATACAACAAAATTAATTTAAAAAAAATTGTCAATAAATTTATTTAATCTTTCACATTCACTTATTTTTTAATTTGTAAAATAATTTTAATTTAATTTAAGACAGAATTATCGATTATTATTTATATAGAGAACAGAATTAAAAACAAGCACTTGCTAGTAACTCAATATACGTTCGACGTGATCATTTGGCATTTATTAAGTAATACATTATATAATATATTAACGTGCGCATGTGTACACTTAAATATACAATTCGCTCAGTTTTTATTGACTATGATATATAATACATGTCTTTTGGTTACTTCCACAAAGGGGTGTGCGAATACGAGCGTCATTTTGCGGGAGGTTCTTCCTACGAAAGGAGCAATGGTATTATAGAGATAGGATTGAGAAGGGAGGGGGTTTCTTTTTTTGTGGTTGTATAATGACCACTTAAAAATTTAACAGCTCCTTCCTTCACATGGCTTCCAATATTTTGTATAAAATTGTCAATTGATTTTTAAAAATTCAGGAAGAAACGTAATCCTTTTTAGCAGTTTTATGTACTGCGCCTATTCTGTTTATAGGCAACATGTCATTACGAAATCCGTCGATAAATTGTTGTACAGAATCTACAGTTATTTCAGCACCATCCTCCATTACGGCATAAATTCCTTGAGGTATATCAATTGCTGTTAAAAGAGGTACAGCATCGTCTAAACCGATAAATTCACGAAGAATATCTGATGTTTCACACTGTAATAAGAATAATAGGATACCAATTAATTCAAAATAATTATGTATAATTAAATAAAATCAATACTTACATCTAATGCTATATAAAATTGGAAAATATCATATGGATCATCGTAATTTGGATCATAGTCAGGTCTATCTTGCCTGTACGCCTGTGCAGCTGGCAATAATACGCTTTCTGCGAATTGAATCTCACTATCTTCACCTTCTATTAAAACATAACGATCACCAGATATAAAAAAAAATTGTTCTGTATACATGTAAGCTAATGAAAAATCGATTAATCTAAATTTTAGATATAAATTACTTATTAAAATAAAATAAAATATTTTAGTTAACACGAATGTAGGAATAATGTTTTGTAATTGTATATCAAAATTGTAAAATGTACTTACCAACAAAAAGAATAAGTGCCGGTCCATCATGCAGCGAACTAGCGTATTTTTCGGTAAGAATATTCACCAAACGACTGTTCCATGGAAAATTCTAAAAAAATTAAAGAAATATATTACAAATATTATAAGTATAATAAAATACTCTCAGTTTATGCAGAAAATGTTCATTTACCAGTCCCTCAGGATCCTCGATTAACTCTGTACGTCCATCCACAGTTATAATATTATCTCGAGGATCAAGTAGTACCAAAGTGGGTATTACTTGTACATCGAGAGCTATCGTTAATTTCCGTCGTCTCTCTTCTTGTCTAAAAGGTATCCTCAACCATGGCATCGCTTCAATATAAATATTATAAGACTCTTCACTCCTAATATCATAAAAATTATATATCGATTAGTTATCCTTATAATTACTACAGGAATTATATTTTTACAAGTTATAATTGTTATAAAAATTATATTTCTTATTCAAAATGAATAAACAATATAATATTTTTTGGCAACTCACCTATCTGAACTTACAAAGATCACCTCAAAATTGTGACCTTTTTCCCGAATTCTCTTATAGGTATCCACAAGTTGTGGGGTAAATGCTTTACAAGGTGGGCACTAAATAAACATACAATAAATAAAAATCTGAAAAATCCTAATTTTAAAAGATTTGCGGCTTAGTCTCCATTTCGTGGCCAGAATTATGTACTGTTATATATTTATACACTATATTTTAAAATGTATTTAGCAAAATAAGTTATAGTTTAACACTAAAATTTAATGAAATTATTTACCATATATGTTTGTAAACATTGGTATAGTTGACATTTTTATTTTTTTTTGCAACCTTCTTTATATGTTATAATATAGTATTTTTCAAACTCACGTTTTTGAATTTCTTATTCTTTTCTCATTAAAATCTCAATTTGATTAAGCGCTTAATTCATAGACTTACAAGATATTCAGTTTTAGTATATTAAAAACAAGAAGTAACGTGTCTTAATAATTTTGAATACAAAGAATTGTAAAAGCATTCGCAATTTCTCTTTAACTTTCGTTGGAATAGAGACAAATACGTAAACTCACCGAAAAATAAACATTTCGCAAATATTTCAAGTAAGCTACTTAGCAGCCGACAGTGTACGAATACTTTTATTTTGGTTCACCACCAGTGGATATACTTTATACAGATTTGTCTAGCATGCTGTATGATTAATTATAAAATAAACACATATGTACCCAATGTGCGCTGAAGTAAATACCCTTAAAGCAATGACGCAACTCTTCGTGCAGCATTGGTTCGTTACTATCACTTGCTCCACATGGCAATAAGGGCCCATCCTCAAGAGCAGCCTTCGGATGAGGCCGCCTCCAAGGAAAATTAGCCCCAGTGGGATCGCTTACGATTCTATCTACTCCTCCTCTGGTTAACACCGTGCCGTTAGAACCATCCAATAGAATCAAAGTCGGTACGTCGGTCTTTACCTGATACCTCCGACTCAGTTTGATCTGTAAAAAAGATGTTCCATCGTTTGTAAGAATATTTCAACGTCAATCGCGAGATCCTTAAAGCTTCTTCATAAATATTCGTTCATTGTGTTTTAAGTCATAAGAGATTTACATTTGACAGATTGTAATAATCCTTGTGACTTGGTCCACGATCAAAGTATGAAGTCGAGAACAAAGTACGGATTATATAAATGTTCTGGTATATTTGTATAAAGAGATTAAAGTCGAGAACAAAATATCGATTATATAAGCTATACAGGGTGTATTTGTATAAAAGGAAGACGTATATCGATGAAATTAAACCCGTTTAGTAAAATGTGAAAGGTGTGCTAAAGTAAGTAATTGAAGTTATATGTAAATGAATTAAATTGTACATTAATCAAATGTGGGATAAAGTGGCGTGTGAGAATAAAGTTGAGACAAAGCGTACTGTCTAATCATGTAATTATAAAATCATCTGCTCCAATAATCTCATCGCCCATGAAAGGCATTAAAACTTACCATAGTGTATTTTTCCCATAGTTAGTTTCGAATTTTAATATAAAGAATAAAGTAGACCTTCAAAAATTATAAATCGCCTGTAACGTGAATAATTAGCTCTTTTTTATTTTAATATATTTTAAATATAAACTGGATAACTTCTATCACTAGTTTACAAATAATTATCTCTACTGCGACTATCTTCCTTCAATGTTATTAGTTTGACATTGATCATATAAAAAACAGAGTTTTCAAAAAAAGAATTTAAATAAATTTAATACGAACCTTTTTGTTAGATATATTGCTCTTAGTATTGTCACTTTTTAATTTCAACTGTTTTTATTACCTGTATCGTATTTATCGTAAAATATGCTTTGCAAGGTTATCGATGTTTATTAAAGCAGAACGTATTATTTATAGGAATATCAACTTTCGATATATCATACAAAGTTTTACATTTTTCAAACTGTAAGTAAAAAATAAAGTAATATACATATAAATAAAATAACATTCTGAATTACAAAGCTATAAAATCACCTTTCCCCTAAAAAGTAACTCAATGAAAGATACAATGTAATTTCCATCGTCGATTTACGGTACATTATTTTTGCCAAATGTAGTTTCCCTTCTTATAAACTGTGGTTTGAATTCAGCTGCAGAACACGTGTGTATTGGCTATAAGAAAAGAATGAGGAGAAAGAGGTAAGGAGGAAGAAAGATCGAAACCCATCAATTTCAGATGACGTGAGTGGAATACGCGGCGATGAAGCGAAGCATTGAATATATGCGCGCGCACGTGCAAGAAATTCGAAACACGTAGCTCGCTTCTGTTTCTTCCGTTATCCTCCCAACACGCAACGAAATTCAAGCACGGCGAAAAAAGGGCGCAACGAGTGTCTACAGGGGAGTAATGTCTGCTGACAATGAACGCTGTCCCTTCTGCCCTCGGGTGCATGATTACAGTGCTATAAGAGGTACAGGGGGAAGAGAATGGAAGGAAAGGGGAAAGGCTCGAGCATGATAGTAGAAACTGGTTGAAAGTTTTTCATGTCGGAAGAGATAAGAAAGGATGAACGCGCACGAGAATGGTATATATACACGGATAATACAGATGAGGCTAGATTTTCCCTTCTTTCTAGATAAACAGTCAATCCTTTCAACGCTATATTTTAAACGAGAGAAGTATTAATTTTTTTCCTTTTTCTTTTTAGGAAAGAAGTGTCTCTGTTTTCATAGAACGATACCGAACAGAGACCATGGATAATAAGGATCGCCGTCTGTTCTGGCAGGCTGCGCGATTGTAGTAGCATCAACCGTAAAAACAGAGATGATAAGAGAGCGAGAAACTCCTACTCGAGCGGAGATAAAAGAGGATAGCAGTAATCCCGAAGGCAGCAGACTTCACGGAAATTCTTTCGTATATTTTAAAACAAGCTGCAGCTGCAGCTAGCTACTTCCTTCATTTCTGTAGTTTCGAATATCTCGTAGCTTGGAATAAATTTGTGTAATTGGAGGGCGGCTTCTAGTGAAGTTTGTAATTCTGTTTGCGGTTTATGTAAGTACATAGATTATTTTATTTCCTTTTAGGATTATCATTAAAATAAGAGTTCTGTATTATGCTTTCGTATTTTGTATTTTCTTTTCTATCATGAATTTTGTTATTACGTACTTAATATGAAAAAGTATTCTATACTTGTTTTATTGTACATTCAAGACATTATATAACAATATTTATATAAATATTATATAATTACAGCAATTATAACATTAAAGTTTTAATAATTTTGAACGCATATAGTACTAAGGTAAAATATAAAAATATACAATGTGCGAAAAATACCAATGAACGATGGTAATTGCTTGACATTCCTTTTGGATCTGTGAATTATTTTTTTATGGACGTTGATATTCCCTTGATGTTTTTACTAGTTGGTGATAAAGCTCTGTATGTTTCGCTGTCTAAATAAGTGGCTTAGCATTTTCCATGGTGACTAATAAATCGTCGAAGGACTGACAAGAATACCTCAGTAATCACATAGCTGAGCTTCAGATGTACTGTATTAACAACAAGACATACACAGTCTGCTACTTAAACTTTGACTTTGTTTCTGTTGCAGAATTTCTTCTTTCTAATGTAGGAGGAACCACAGTGGTTGATGCCTACGTTGTGAATGGCCGATCTTCAGTCACTTGAGCGTTAGATAGGTATTTCATTCCATCTTGTAGTTTGTGCTGGAGGGATTTACATGAAAGTATACATCGAATGATCTTACTTATTTGATTTTAGCTATGCAAAAAATTTTTTGTATTTTGGAATCCACGTGACATAAAATGTTCACCATGAATAATAAGCGTAGTAATATGATAGAAACATGATAATATTATGTAAGCATGAACATGAAAATTGCTATAAGAATGTTAATGCGTTTCATAAGTTCCTTAATTATAAATTTTTATGCTGCGTTGAAATGTTTTTCATATTTCTTTATAAATATCTCGAAGAGAGTCAGCAGTTTTGATATCAGCCCTTTTCTTGTTGAGGTTTTTATAGCCATGATGAGTAGTAACTTTCTACATTGCATTCACTTCACTGCCACTTTACAGTTACCCACAGATCACCGATTCTGGATCATTTTATACAATCCGGCTCAATGAACCATAAATAATAGCATCGATACACCGCAGTGTTTGAATGGCGCGACGATGGTTGGCAAATTAATGGAGAACAGCTAATTATTTAAGTGCAACACGGTTATTAAAAAGGAAGATAACCGAGAATTGATCGAATCTGAAAATAACCACAAATTAATATTTAATAGATAAGAAATTGGTATTTGAGATGTACCTTTTAAAAATGAGAATGTCGTCGTAGTAATTCATATTAATACGTTTGTAATTGATAACTAATAAGAAATAACTAAGTAGATTCAACTTCTAATTTATATGCTTCTCAGAGTTAAGGCAGGAATAAGGAATAATAATGAAGTTTGAGGCTTGGGTTTAGGAACTGACGACTAGATGAATTAACTAGTCTGCAATTAGTTTGTAATTAGGTTGTGAGATTTCATATACTAATAGATTGATTTGTTTTCATATTTCATAATTATATAAATTTAAGTAATAATATATTATATAAATATAATTTAATTATGTTTAATTAACTATGTTTAGTAGTAATATTTTGCATAATATGTTCCAGATTTTTTCATATTCGGAATAAGTGATTATTCCGTTCCAAATAGCAAATCAATTTTTGGTACCATTGAACGTGCATTAACGATTCTTCGGCGGAAGGAGGAAGCAGGAAGTAGAAAGTACTTACTTGCATACTTCTTTGAGGAAGATGGTCGACTATAGTATTCGTTAGTATTGAATACCGATTCCCGTTAAGCTGTCTGATTACAAGAGAACAAAAGGAGTAGAGATCGAAGCACAATGGACATATTGCAGAAGGCTTTTGTACCGGAGTAGATAATGGAGAACAGTCTAAGAGATGAAATAACGTTTTCAATCATTTGAAACTTTTCAATGACGAGTAACTCATTCATACGACGTTCTTTCATTCATATTTTATACATTATTACATTTATTATAATCGTCCTTTCATTCACATTTTATGCATTATTACATTTATTATAATCGTTCTATTCACTCCTTTTATACCTAAAAATATTCTTCATTATAGATTTCAAAAATTCACCATCCACACGATCAACAACTTCGAACGATGTTCATAACAAAACGTTCAATTTCTCCATTTCAAACGAAAACAATGGAGCAGGAAACAGAATCGAATAGCTGTCGTATGATGCAAGCTTGCCTGGAGACAAAAGGATAACTACATCAGCTTTCAAAAGAACCAGAGAGATTTCAATAAATCTCTGTAGCCGACACCTGTCGTGGGTTCCATCGCCAAACAAATCAACCCTCCCCCTGAACTTTCATCGCTCAACAGCTTTTTCTCTGTGGAACCTATATACTCATTGAAAAAGCGCGACTATTTCGCGGTATTTCCCCGATCAAGTCAAACCGAGGTACACGAAATTCTCGGGCGAAGCGTTGCAGCTGAACGCAAAAGGGTGAGCGTTGGAATAAGGTACGAAGGGTCTGCTCTAGGTAGCCGAACGTGCGACATCGTATGTTATCGCGACCCTCCACTGGGAGGCATTACCTCGTCCCTTCGTACATTTCCTACGGTGCTTTCTCGTTCGTTCCTACGGTCGACGTATATATACGCTCGTTCACCGTCTCCGTCTCGAGCGGTCGATAACGCGTACGTCCTCCCTTGGCGTTGCTGCCGCTCGCTCGACGGGTGCTATCGTTATTTCCCCCGGTGGTCTGTATGTCTCCTACCACACCACTTCTATCGCTCCTGCTCGTTACCCCGTGTCGTCCTTGCTCCATCGCCCACTTACCCTCGATGATTTTCTTTCTCCCTTCCATCAACGCTTTGTATCGGTACAAAAAATGCACGTGTGATGCCATTATTCTATCGTGTTACAGTGATTAGTCGCGTACAA